CATAGTACTCGGCTGTTGTGGATAAGTGGAGCCTACAAGTTATCAGCCTGGCCAAGATTACAAGATACGAGGCGAAAGCGGTTTACGATAAAAAGGCAGTTCATTAGAAATAAGGGTAGATTTCGGTGCAAGGAGGAAGAAAAAATCATGAGAAATGGCGCGAAACCAAAACCCTTTATTGCCCCTTAATATCCGCTTAGATGCGACTCTCATCGGTACTGCTCTCTTCAATGCTAAAGCTCTTTCTGGTGAACGATAGATGCCTGCGGAAAGTGGTTAGCCGGTCGGTGGGCGCGCTGCGCTGACAGCGCCGCAGGGGAGGCCGCTAGATGAGCAAGGCATATCTTTCACGCGTGTCGCACCCTTAGGGGGGGAATTCCACCGTCCTCCCACTAGGTAAGTTTCCCCCCTATCAAACCTCGAATTTGATCGTGGAATCCTCCTTTAAATGCGAAATGTACTCTAAATGGAAATCGAGCTACTATAATACTTCCAATATCTCAAACTTTAGTAACCGCAGTTGAAGGAGGAAAGAAAATAGGTATGGAAGCAGCCTGTCTTCAAGTCAGCGGGCATCAGCCGCCCGCGCCCGTCAACATTTCACGCTCAAAAACCACCACCTCTGCATTAGCTGCTGGTTACACTTCTGGTATGCATCTACTTTAGCTATGCAAGCCTTCATTTTTTTTTTTTTTATCCTCGCCATTCCGGCTGGCTCGAGGTTTCTCAGAAAGTAGAAAGAAGAACTTCAGCGGCAGACGGCAACCAACAGAATAGGCAATCACTAGATGAGTGTAGTGCTGAACCAATGGCTTTCGTTTATGTCAAAATACCAGCCCTATTAATGGAACTTTTTCGAGTTCATAAGAACATCTGCTCATTATATGTTTGTATTGCGTCTTATTAAAATCCTTCGCGGAAAATTCTTGCATTCTTTCTTGACATGAATGTGTCAGTTGTGATCACTGGAAACAGCACACAAAGTTTCACGCATGAAGATTCGGTTTCCGAAGAGAAACAAACGTACAAAAACTACACGTTATGGACCATCGAAGGTAATTCGGGCGGAGCCAGGCGAGGCATGGAAAGAAGACGGCGTTTGGCCGGCTACGTACCAGGCGACGCAATGAGAGAATCGGGTTAAAGCGCGCGATTTCGGAGAGTGGAGACAAATCGATCGATGGAATAGGATGGAGTAGAAGTGTAAGATGTGAATGCAACGAAGCAGAAGGCCAGAAAGAGTTTCTAGTGAATGCACTCCAAGAACCAAGTGAAGCATCCCCGTCGCCAGCATTTGTGGCAGATGTCGCGGCGTTACTTTAACGCGTAGCAACAATTCGACTAAATTTTTCGAAGTTTCTATCAAAACAAAAACAATATTTCTGTTCTTTTCATTCTTATAGTTAATAATGAGTCTCAAGCATATGTGATTTATATAAGTATAAGTATAAGTTTATTACGTTTGCATAAGGCACACGTGAGAAATAATTGACACCATTATGAATCACATGAACTGAACAAGAAATAACTACAAAACACCTATATTTTTAAGAACAACGAGCTTTGGTAATCAGTCTCAAAAAATGCTATGAACCTCTAGTTCTGAGTAATATATTAGATATTCGTCGCTTGAATTGTGCTTGTGTTAAAGAAGCGGGTATATTTTTCGCTATATTCAAATAATCACTACCGGCTCTATATGTGAAGTTCTTAGCACGCACATTACTCTTGGGTCGCGTTAATGATATTTTCATGGATCCACCTCTAGTTCTCGAATATGACATTTTGAAGACATTGGAAAATCCAGACACATAATAATTCTGTACCAGTTTATGAACAAAACATAGGTCAAACACTCTGCGCCTCCATTCAAGAGATGTCAGTTTGAGACTATTATTCCTGGTAGCCGCGTTCGGTATATTATAGTACTGGAAACCTCCCATTCTAATGAATAGTTTACGTGTAAAATTATTTTGAACTTTTTCAATTGCGTAGATGTGTTTCTTTTTGAAGGGGTTGAATACTGTAGTGCTGGACTCAACTAATGGCCTTACGTAAGACTTGTATGCACGTAGTAATGCTTTTTGATTGGCCAAAGATAACCCTTTGAAAATTTGAAATGTACGTAAATGGGCTGCTTGAACCCTTCTTTTTATATGCTCCGAGAAATCTAATTTATCGTTGTAGTGAAAACCTAGGTCTCTGACTGACTGTACAGCAGAGAGGGGAATCCCATTAACAGTGTATGAGTTCACTGAGGGTGGAATGCCGACAGCTAACTGCATGTACACCGTTTTATGTGGAGACATGGGTAGTTGCCATTCTTCAGACCAGCGTACTGTTTGTATCGACTTATGGCTGAAATGGGACCATGATTTTTCCGTGAAGGATTCCTTCAAGGGCAGATAGTTTTTCCGTTTCTGGTTGATCTGACTAAGGTCTTCCACGAATTCTGCACGGAAGTCTTGGTCTAGATAACTGATAAGACCACTGCAGGGAACAACCAATTTTTCATTGCGGTTCTTATTATATTACAACCTTTGGATGTGACATTTCGTTATCATCTCAATGCCCTACTGCACAATGAACGAAACGACAGCATAAGAATCTCGTTGGGGAGCTAAACAGAAATATTATAAGATGCCGGTTACTGGAACAACAAAACCCTCTGTCCTGGCCCTCACTGTCCTGTCGGAGCTATATCCGAACCTCACCAGACTTGCAAGCGTATCCATTTATTCAACAGAGTGCTCGAAGTGCACTAAAATAATCTTGGAATCAACTCAACGGAAACAGAAAGACTTTACAAAGTAAAAATAACAGTACAAGAAGAGTTCTGCCAGACCCTTCAAAATGAAATTGTGCAAGAGTGCTTGAGACGAGCTGCCCATGCATATTATTAGCAGAGTAGGCAAAAAAAATGATGGCAACAGGAGCGCCACAAATCGTCTTGAACTCCTCCCATTAGAACGATGCATCAGGCAAAGAAGTTCCTCCAGAGGAAACACATGAACGATGCCTGTCTAAACATCCTCGGAATAGAAAAGTGCTACACCCGAAAAGTCTGCGGCTAAGCTCGACAACCCCACACTTTATTTATTTATTTATTTATTGCATGTGCTTTAGGCACATGAGAGAATACAACTTGTCCAGCGGAAAAAATCAAAAACAGGTACCTGATACCGGAAAGCCTCCAAGGCCGAAAAGCCTTCAAAGAAACGACAAACGAAAAGTGATGATCCTGTATGAGGTAGTAGCAAAAAATGGTGGGTTCTGCACGCCATAAGGCTTCAACATGTCCCTTCACGATTTACAGGTAATCGACCGCACACATTTGTCTCCTTTGGGAGAAATCCTATCAATGATAACCCACATGTACACAATGACCCTCTTCTAAACATTACACTTTACTTAGGTTTTCCCCAAACAAGCTCGCAGTCGTCCCCCATTTCAGACCTGGTTCTTCTTCAACTAGGACTCGAATGGTCGAGCACCATTACCTGATTTGCTCGAACATGTTTTTTTTTACAGCCGAGACATTGAAAAACTAGTAGAATTTCAAGAAGAAGTCATGACTAAGTTAGGAATGTACGCCTGGTTGATTTTCTCATCTTCTCTGGGGATAATTTTTTTCAAAGAAATGCGGTCACTTTCGTGGATAAAACACCTTATTCCTAAACACCTAAAATTCGAACTAATTCCCAACAAACATAAAAACAAAACAAATGAGCGAATAGAGCAGAAGAAGTGCTCACAAAAGGAACACCACTCGATATGAAACAATGGCGTTTACGAGGAACAATTTTAATTTGAAAATTGCTATGGCTTATCGGTCAGCCAATTCGAAAAGAAACAGGGCAAACCTTTTTCGGCAACCTAAGGGTGGAATGTTCAGAAGAGGTCATGAGTAAGTAGAGGGTACATCATTGATTGATTTCTCCGCAGGGAAAATAAAGTTAGAGCTAGTTGTCGGTTTGGTCAATTTTTGTCGGCGGGACCTCCCATTTCGCAGGCCTAAAATTTGAAAACCCTGAAACAGAGGTGGAAGTGAACACACAGCATCTCTTGTAGAGCAGACAATTCTCTGGTCTATGACACTGTGTAGAAGCGTAGGGATTTAGATGAAATTTTGTGGTTGAAAAAAAAGCGACATCATTTATGAGACACACCTAACCTTCTGGATACATTGTTTCCTGTCCATTGTGCTGAGCGACCCACGCTTTTTCCGCTCAGATAAAAAACCCAACCCACATAGCTATCTTCGGGCAAATTGTAATAAATGAGGACTTTAAAAACACGGCTCAATTATTTTTCTTTAAACTAATGTGAACCCGGTAATTTTCTGCGAAATGCAAAATCATAAATAATGAAGGAGAGAACATCACTGAATGGTTTCATGTTTTTATTTTTTTTTCTTTGAACGTTGACGTGCAAAGTGAAAGATGGCAAGCGCGACGATATTATTTATTTTCCAACTCAACGCAAACCGTTGTCTACTGTTGTCCTTTTTGGGGGCTTAACACTGTTTCGGCTTTGTTGAGACTAGCTATTTATTTATTTATTATTTCGAATGTTTCAGTCGTTCGTGGAACCGGCGCTATTGAAACAACGAAACATAAACAAATCTCTTTTTTACGTATAAAGCAGACATTTGAAGAGATTTATAATGTCACGGGAGGAAATTTAGCCAGCACATTTTGCCTCCTTCAACCTGCTTTGTATACGCAAATCAAGCTGCATCGCCCACATCTTTTTTTCTGAATATTACTTACCTTTATCAAAGAAACATGAGGCGTTTAAAACCGTGTACGCTTACTCGATTTGGAGGGCTAAGCCGAGCAGGAAGAGCTGCAGGATCGAGGCAACGTCCGGCAACCGGTCATGCGCTGACAGCCTGTCCCGAGTGACCGGCCACTTCCCGACATTTGGGCATATAAAACAGATGCCGGCAGTGATCCAGCACCTCAGCAAAAACCTATCCATCCTCCATTTCTAAGGAAATGGCCACGCTCCACAGCATTCTCTTCCACAGCATTCTCTTCACTTCCGTTCTCATTGGAATAGCAGCATTCTTCTATGAAGTTCAGGTTCATGACCTTTCTAACGAAAGATTTATTTGATATATATATACACTGTAGATTCCTCCAGCAGCAGGCTGATGTTTGATCTTTGACCATAATAATGTTCAGGGCGCACCGACGGAGACCGCTCTGCGCATCTTGGACAGCAGTCTGTTAGCAAACAGTACCGATGTGACCGTGGAAGGTTCAAATCGAGTGAAGAGACAAGGCGGTGGAGGCTGTGGATGCGGATGTGGATGCTGCGGATGCGGTGGTGGAGGAGGAGGTGGTTGCGGCTGCCGGCGGTTGCCGGTCGGTGGAGGTGGTTGCGGGTGCTGCTGTTGTAAGCCACGGTGAGCAGTAAAAGACCAGTTATAGTCAAAACATTTTTTAAACTAATAACTATGCAAAATTCTGGTTCTAGTTGGGTTGTCATCAATTTTCCAGTGTAAATTTCCAATGACCGAACCAGGCCTTTTTTGTAAAGAAATTATATCAACTGATTTCGGGTCCATAACCTTTATACGGAGGTGAAATATAGCAGTGGTGAACGCTTAACCCACTTCCAAGGCGCAACTAGGATTTAATCCACTCAGTCAGGCAGACCTTCTCTTTCTCCTTTTCGTGATGATCGGTACGTCAAACTACCTTTACTGGGATCTTATTCCTTATAACATTGAACCCCGTGAATTCCATTTCTAGTCCGCAAATTCTTGTGCTGACTAAGTGGCTTCAACTTGTGGAAACTCACCTACACGACGCTCTTCCGATCTGCATAACTTCGTATAGCATACATTATACGAAGTTATACGATATCGTATGAGATCGAGTTGGCTTTTCTCTCTTTCTTTTTCCGAGTCCAATCGATTCGGAAGATCATGTGCTTCATTCATTTCGTGCAGAATTTTCATGAAGAAGCTTGACCACCGAATGGTCGGTTGTTTTGGAAAAGCCACGTAACTTGAAGCAGCAGGTCTGGATTGGGTGCCAAGTAGTCCCTCCTAGAGCATCGTATGAGATCAAGTTGGCTTAAGATAAGGGGTCTCCAAGCGCAAGAGGCGCAACTTTCTCGCAACTCAAAGGTGCGAGGCAACAGCGCTAAGGCCTTGCCTTGTGTGCTGCCATCTTATCAATCGCGGCATACGTGGCGTCTGCGCCCTCTCGCCGACGTGCTCTCTCGCGTTTTCCCTCTCCTCGCAGCGCTGTGTCTCTCCGTCATACCACGGCCGACCTCACAAAAGAAGCTTCATTTCTTCATGGCGCTTTTTGCTTTATCTCCTCGATGACATTCCTCATTGCAACTTATCTAATTTTCGAACAAAAGTTCAAACGAACAAATAAAAACAAGTACATCAACTCGATTTCGGCCCGGTCCTTTAAGTACACATGATTGGAAGAGCAAGCAGTTGCGTATCGCTTGACCCTTGCTCTCTTTGGTGAACGTTCTGAGCAAGCGTAATCTTAGACATTTTAGCTGCTGCTGCACTTGTACCACTTGCCGCACTTGTTGTTGTACCAGGTGTTGCACGTGCTGCCGGCCATGTTGCGGATGTGGTAAGTGAACTATGCATGCCATATGAAAAGTGCTCGAAAACTACTGAGCACTCTCTAGGTTGTGGTTGCTGCGGATGCGGTGGTGGCGGTGGAGGACGTAAACGCCGTTCGCTCGACAACCTCAGAATTCGACTTGGTGCCAAAAAATTGGCTGAACTGAAAGGAGAAGAACATTCCTCTGCTGAGTACCCACGACAGAAACGGGTAAGAACTGCGGAAAAATTTCTGAGTTATACCTTGCATGATGAACAATCTTCCAGGACATGAGCACGAGATCTACGGGGATTACTGAGTGTCTTGACATGTAGTCATTCTTTAAATTATTGCATAAATAATAATTATTTCGAAGCATCGCGACAGCAGAATAGCTCCTTGAAATTGAGTTAAAGGCAAAGGTCGGGCTCAGGCACGCTAGAGAAGTAATTCCCGTGCCTGGAGGTTGTATGTGGGTAGCTGCACACATTGCAGCAACTTCCCACCTTGAAAAACCCCGTTAAGGCCCCGGGGCGTTCGGTTTCAATCCAGGGCCGCCTGGTCAATCCAGGACCGCCCACCTCCGGAAGTGGTGCGTGGCTGGCATAACGTGTGAAATCAGCTAGGTTGATTGCCGTATCAACCGATAGAACGACTGACATCTCCAGAAAACTTGTTTGTACGTGCCTCTTTCCCAAGCCAGCCTCCTTCACTGCTAGTGGGAAAGAGGGTTTTGTTAACGGCCTTGTCGACGGTTTTTCTCAGTTTTTTCTCCACTGTCGTTCCACTTCGCATCTCTATACTCAGTTTCAATCGCCATAAACCCCCTTATTGAGCCCGACTTGCCTTTGAAGGCCTCTCAGGATGCTTCTATACAGATTTTCTACTAAGCATCGGCGCTTTCTTCTACACTGTTTCACTTTCCAAATGGTTAAAAAAAGAAAATGATGGCATGCATTTGAAGACTGCAGTTCGCTCATTTCAAGAAATCAGTCTTCCTTTCAGAAGAACTGCCTTCGGGTGACCATGCTCACGGGATTGCTGCTGGTGTCACTTGCCTGGTGATCGTGGACGCGACCATTTTTCGTCTTACCTCGCTAATCTATACGTTATCGAAATATCCATGAGCACGAGAATAATTGGTCGATGACATGCAATTATGAGAATCCAGGAAATACCACGTGAAGCACACCGACACAATGGAGAATCCATACGATACCAGAAGAAATACCACCACTTCTTTGTGAGAAAAATTCGATTGTTGAGCTCGAAATCGTTTCCTTTACACTATTCGCACAACCCACCGATCAACTGCGAAGAGAAAAGTTTGGTAATTGGCGGCGCACCACTTACCAACAGCATTCGAACAGAAGCCATATGTGTACTGTATGCGGAAAAACAAGAAATAGCTTCAATAGCTGCTTCAGTGGCCGGTTGATGTGCGCCCCCAATAGGTCATGGTGTCGGCGATAGAAGTTACGAAGAGTACGCACTCTCTTTCACTGTGGCTGTTCATATTATACTTTTCCGAGCGGATATCAGCAGCAATGTACAGGCGCTAAATAAAAAAGAAGTTTTGTCTTTACATTGAAATGAACTCAATCACACTTTGCTAAAGTCAGATCGAGTGCTCACAGCTTAAGGAGATAGAGAGAAGAGAAAAGAAGAAGAAATTTGAATCGCACATCCACTTTGATGGAAAAAATCTTCATTTTGGCCTTACGCACGTGGACAATCAGAAAAAATCTGCTACAACTTGATACGTGGGTCAAGCTTAATGGGGTCCTCGATGGATCTTGTACCATTATGAAGTTTCCCGAGATGCTGGTTGTGGGGAGTTTGCATAGTCAGAGCTAATTTCTCCATGAGACTATCCAACAGTGAACCGATTTCAAGGAAATTATGTAAGAGCTTCAGGCTAAAGCAATTACCGTAGGCCTCCTTGGCCTCGACTGCGATGGCAGATGACACTGTATTCTGAAGGCGGTGAAGGCACTGAAGAAGGGCTAGCATCTACTTGTAGAGGGGCATTTGAGGGACACTTTGATGTGGATAAGTGCAATGACGAAACGGGTGCCTAATGGAAATGGTGCTCCAGTATGATGGAAACATTTGAGCTTTTTATGCAGAAGGTAGTGAGTGGTCTAAAATAGTCAGCAGAGACTTTTCTCACTGTGCAGTGCGCTGAGGTCGTGCAAGATGGCCAACCAGTTCAGTTGAAATTCATCACCGCATTCTCCCCACAAAATGAGCGCAGTCGCGAGTACCACCAAACATTTTAGCTTGGAGCTCTACAAGACGGAAATAAATTCGTTTTCAGCAGTTATATAAGGAATTATCCATTCAGTTTATCAACCTTCCTCAGCTCCTCTCAGTCGTAAGCTTCAATCCTCCTCAAGCAAGCACTAGCTTCGTCAACATCTTATCTCGGCTGAAGATTGAATATACATCGGTAAAAGAGAAAAACAGCAGTCCACTAAAATGATGTCATGGACCCAATAGCCAAACACTTACGTTTCCAGAATTCGTCCAACTGTACTCATTAAGGTATAAATGAATTCTAGAGAGCTAAAATTGAATGGGAAACAAGTAATATTAGAGGGTTACAAGGCTTCTGTCAACCAAAGGGTGAGAACGTAGCTAAAAGCACACACTTTTTGTCTTATTGGGACTAAGCCTTTTGAAGGAGATAAAGAAAGAGGAGATAGTGTGATGTGTGCATTTGTGAGAGCTCCCAGACATCACTACAAAACGCTGAACCGCCAAGCCTCACGGTTGACAGAAGTCCTGAGACCAGATTAGAGTATTGTAAGCATGAAACTATGGCCAGATGTGCTCCTACAGATTTTACCGCTCGTGGATCAGGTAACACCTGGGTAACCAAAAAGGGAAGCTCAGGACCATGTGCAGTTGAGCGATACTTTTGTGACAACTTGACTTCGAGTCAAAAGTGTCAAAATGGAAGGAAGCATGTCACAAAACGAGTAAAAAGTAAAGAGAAAACGAACTCGTCTAAGGTTGTCTAGGTACAGGGTCCACACATACGTAGTGGTCGTTCGCTCATCTTCGTGACAATTTTCATCTACCCTTATGGTGAACTGGTAATTAAGAGTTTTCATACAATTTCGCAGGCTTCCTCCTAGTTTTTTTTTCATAAGAATCATGATGTTTAGGAACACTCCTGCTTCCACTTTCTGTTTTTCCAAATACGGTCATTTTTTTGATTCTTGAAGTTCAGGTTTTAGCTCATTGCTCATTGCTTCCTTCTAATGTTCTCCAGTACTGAAGAGGAGAAAACTAAATTAAACTAGGAGAATTCCTTTGTGTTTTCCATAATTTATGTCCTGAGGCAGATTCTTGTGAGATTGCTCAACTCTGATCGGGTCTTAACAGTTTCAGCGAGCGAGCTTTTTGAGCGCGACAAATAAATAACATTTATTTCCCAAGAAATATCATTTTTTGCACAAATTTACGATTCGGAAACAAGACCGCAGAAATGGATCATAGCGAAAGTTTTCAGGTTTTTGTTATTAAATTGCATACCTGGATAAATTGTAAATATTATAATATAGGTACATCAACGTAACAAATTATAAAAATCACATCTTACACAACTAATGTAAAGCTGACGACATTTCCAAGGATCTTTACACAAAAAATAATAGAACGATTCCTATGTACAACTGCTGTGCTACGACGTGAACTCAACGAAATAAATATGATAAGTCGAATTCAAAATAGAATTCAGCCGTGAACCAATCACCGCAAATTATGCTAACGTGACGAACGCAATTTCATTAATGAAACATCAACAATGAGATTTCCCGCTTAAAAACAGCGATCCCACTCTTAACAACATGAAGCTTTACTAAAGATAAATAAAACTTGCACAAATTTGGTGATTATGTACACTTCAGCCCGGAGAGGATTCGACTTTCACTTGAAACGCATCCCCAGGATGTCTGCATTCAAAAATAGCACCCATCGAAAAGAGAAACCGTTGCAAGAACAGCTGCGCTCGGAGTCGACCGTTCGCTCCGGACCACCTACGGGCTACGTGAACTCGGCCCTTTGAAAAGTGTTAATGTCCTGCCTCGCCAATACTCTCGCCTATAGGATTCGGGCCCAGAGTAGACACGCATGCTCAAATTTTTGCGGCACGAAAGTGGCATCCCACCTCTGGCTCACGTAGCTCCCACTTACCACCGTTAAAAGCTGTGGTATGCGCCGTCCTCTAACTGTATACAACATAGGACGTTATAGCGTGGTGGCGCCGTCGCTCCAATTCGAGTACTACCATCATTAAACATCAAGGCTTTTACAAATCGAATAAGAAACACCAAAACGACCGTAATACATTCACTACTAGGCGCGTCGGGGTGAGCCAATAGTTCACCATACCGCCGGTTCTTCCCGCTGGAAAGCATTTTGTAGAAAGACCACTTTTTAAGGGGCTCTAAGCTTCAAAATGTGAGAAGCCACTGATGTCGAATTTCCCACCCAAAGCAATAAAGCAAGTATTTTTCGCTGTCACAATCGTCTACTTCAGCCGTAGCTGTGTGAGCTGATAAAATAAGAGATACGCTTCAGTCATCACCAC